CTCTGATGATGATGGACAGCAGCTATATGAAGAAATTTTGGATTGCAGAATGTTGCTATCAAGTCGGGCCAACATGAAAATATCAAGACCCGAAGAGCTTCTCGAATTTATTGTTCAGTCTGGAGATGAGAGCGTCTTCCCCAATCTTCTCATTTCTATTCAGATAATGCTAATCATCGCAGTTTCCATCGCCAGTAGTGAGAGATCATTCAGCAAGTTAAAACTAATTCTTTCATAGTTGACAGCCTCCATGGGTCAAGGCAGACTCTGTGATCTTGCTCTGCTGAGTGTAGAAAGAGAAGAAACTGAAAAAAACTGATTTTGAGCACATCATAGACCAATTTGCATCAGTGAAAGCAAGAAAGATGCAGTTGTAATTTTCATGTAGTGCCATAATTAACGAACTTGATATTATGGTAAAGTTATCTAAAAGATGGGTGTCAGATATTTGGACAGGGGCGCAATTTCAGTGCTTGCCATAGGCGCTATTTTCCGTAGATACACCCCTGTGCCCAACTCACTATATCATATGATTTAAAATTAATTAAAATCATTTTGTAAAGCAGCAGCATCCTCTTCACAACCAGCAACACCCATGAACTTAATATTATCAGCAAATTTAAGTAATTTACCATATTTGCCGGTGTATAAGACGATACTTTTAACTCTTAAAACAATGTCTAATTTTGCATCTCGTCTTATAAGCAGTTTCAAAGATACAGTTCCAGTAAAACCCTCTCCGTTTAATAGCTTAATTAACCAAGACTACATCGTTTCTTTTACTTTTGTTTGCTTTTTTGAGTAAGTGCATTGACATCCTGCCACCTACTGCGTCGCAATATTTGTAATTGTATCACTTGTCTCGATTCTTCATAACTAGAAGTTATTTATCTCACATCCTAGTTTCAGTCAATCCAGACATTTTTGATTTGAAATTTGTTAATCTCATCCGTCATATTAAAATATTGCTAATATTATATCAAAAAATTTAGTTCTGTAATGTACATTAATTTCATAAACACGTTTTTATACTAGATCCTATACCTTAACAGAAAAGGAGTTCAATTGTAATGAAAACTTTGTAAAGTTGTTTATTAAGTTATGCCATATTGAGCTGTCAGTAGCGTTTGAAGAGCATAAAAACCACACTTGTGGTTGTATTGATTACCCCAGAGCGCGGGTTAGCACAGTTTAAAACTAACGTATAAGAATTTCTTTACAAAAGTAACATCCTACACTTGCTCGACAATAGAGGTCGTCCTATACACCGAACCTTGAAGAAATACACCTAATTTGCTCAAAACATCTATGATCGTCTTATACATCGGGAAATACGGTATTGACTATTTCTTCACATACGTCAGTTATGTTAATTAAAAATAGAATATATCCTATAACTGAGCCCTGAGGTGCCCCACTTGTGACATTACTCCAGTTTGACAGAACTCCATTTATAATAACCCTATGCTTTCTTACATCCAGCCATTCTTTTATTTAATTAGCTAACTTATCCCCCACATCTATAGAAATTTTTTTACAAACTTTTATGTGGTATGTTGTCAAATGTTTTCTCAAAATCCATCAGATATATTCTTCAACTACCTTTTGCAGGCTCATTCCTACCTGGGATTGTGTATAGTTTACGTAATCCGATCTAGGTATCATAGCCAAACCCATCGCCAAATGTAATTTTTGAGGAATCCCTAAGTTCAGGGTTCTGGTACAGTTTTCTGCCTCTTGCATCATCAGTGTTCAGATTTCAAATACCAGTTACAAGCGTCCTAGAAGTACTAGCTAAAATCTGTTTATTTGTCAATTAGCTTTATATTTGTAATGTAGTGTTACGTATCTGCTCGTTTGTTAATTTCCGGTATAAATTCTTTCCGAGGAACTTCAGCGTTACAAGTCCTTTCTTATTAAAACCAGTTTATTCTTTTTTGATACAACTTTTTAATAAACAGAATTTCCACAGTCACTTTAAACTTAACAACCTTTATAAACACACGTTATAATTCACATCGATTCACACTTTATTTACGGTGCCTACTGTTCGCTTGACTCAATTATCTATATCTCCGATCTATCTGCATATCTCTTCGATCTATGCAATTCTATATTTTTAGCTGGCTTTATTTGCTGGGCTTATATACTAAAAAAGAGGGCGCTGGAACAAACTAGAGTTGCCAGGAAAATTCATGATCCTTTGAGAAACTCCAGCGTCGCTTGACTTTCGCTGTCGTAACAGTAGTTTATCACTGTTTAGCCTGCAGATCTGTAATGGGTTGCCTTCGGACGTGGTAGATGCAGTTAATTTAAGGGAGTCCAAGAAAAGGTTGGCAAATATTTGAATGATAAGGGATGGATTTGAAGTGTTTTATTGTTGTTTAGTTTACTTTAGAGAATAAAACAGCTTAGCTAGACCAAAAGATAATTTATTGCCCCTTAATATTATGTTATTACTTAGTAGAAATAAGGCCAAGCCCAATTCACATAACAATAACAAATTAGTTTATTTCCACTTCCTTCTTTATGTGTTTTATTTCTTTCTTTTCACTCCTCTTTTAAAATCCCCCTTGTTCTTTTATTCATTTGTGTCTCTATTTTTTCTTGGTCCACTTTAAATTTCTCATCTCTCTCTCTTCCTGACCCCTACTAACTGTTTCATCGCCTCTAGTAATGCTTTGATCTCATTTTGTGATTAGGTTATTATGCTGATATTTAGTCAGAGCTCTATTTACTTTTTATTTTGACAAAAATAATCCCTCTTCTGATATCAGTTGTTGTAGTACTACTTGTGGCATATTCTATACCTGATGATGACAAAACCTTGTTGAAACGTTGTACATTTGCTGTTATGTTAAACTTATATTAAAGTTTTTCTTCATTACCCATTCAAGCCGTCTCCAGCCATTAATATTCTATATTTGTACGGATTCTTTCGGATTATTTGGTAAAAATATGGTCACGTCCATTTCATGTAATGAAATTAACAAGTTAACTTATTTCTTCCTTAAGTTAACGCTACAGGTTACTTTCACTTGTAGTTGTACACAGTTGTAGGCCTAAGGTCACAAATAATATTTTCACTTTTAAAAGAAATTCCGAGATTATGGTCAGCACGCCTAACGTACTTAGCTTTGACTTATAAACAAACACGCAATCCACCAAGTAAGTAAAAGGCAGAGTAGATGCGACAACTCTCATTGCCTAACTTTTCTTCCACTAAACTACCTTCTCATCAATCTACTGAATACTTCACTGAATTCACATTCATTACTCAACGCTTTTTCATAAATACTTCACGAGCTGCTCATTCACTAATTACTCGTATTCTGAAACAATGTACTCTCATCTAGATATTCGTTAAACTTTTTAGATTTTAACATTATGCGCCATCTAGCTATCATCTAAATTAAAACATTAAAAATACGGCTTTCAACAGTATTTTTATTCATCTCCCTTTTCTGTGTATAAAATTTCCTTCACTGTTCCTTACTTTAAAGTTTTAAATTTTGTTCACAGAAACATGTAATAGATTCTTTAACTTTAAATTAAGAATGTATATCATTTATTCCCACACAGCTATATATAGCATCCACATTCAGAATTTATAACAAAAATACAAGAAAGACGAAAACTACGAAGACAGTACATGCAAAACAGAGTCCCAACGGTCAAAACACAAATAAGTACATTTAGAAACAGAATCAGAACCAAAGAAAAAGAAATTAAGCAACAAAACTGGGGCCAATATTGCTCAAAACTAGATGAAAAAACAGACCCAAAATAATTCTGGACACATTTGAAAATATTCACAAATGCAGGTAACTCTACACGCACATACCCGTCACTAGAAACACATAACCCTATAGCACATACAAACAAAGACAAAGCTG